ATGTAGCTCTCTCTCTTGAATGGCGCCAAGCGCCCTATCTACTCTACAGCCTATCCCTACAACTACAGCATGGAAGCAACCAGACAACTTGACTAGCAGCGAGTGATGACGTCAACACCAACATCGACCTCCTCTCCACCAGGTACGTCTCTCTCTTCTCCCTCACTCTCCCTTGTTATCCCACAGAGCGCCCTTCACCTTCCGAAGAACCACCTTCGCCCTCACCTCGTTCAGCGCTCTCATGCAGCCTGGCTATAGCTGCCAGCGCCCTGCGCCCAGGCTGCGCCCTACCGCTTAGCGCCAGCCTGCCTTCTCTCAGCCTAGCGCAGCGCAGCACCTCGCAATGCTACAGCATGCCGGGCTTGCTCGCAATGGCCAAGATCCCTGCCCACTCGCCTGTTTTGGCTGAATGCCAGTGTTGCGTGTGGGTGGTCTGCCTTGAGCCTCCGCCTGGGCCCCAGTACCTGTACCCAGGCCCAATGCAGATGGGGCCCAGGTAATACAGTTGCGCCCCTTATGCAAGGGCCGTTGTCCAGATTCAGGCCCTGTACCGGTTTCCTATTGGTTTCCTCGGCTTCGACGATGAAATACTGCTTTTCTGAGGCCCAGGACCAATGTGTAATGTGTCGGCCTCCCAGACTATCGCCCAGGGCTGAACTAACCGGGGCCCTGGGCTCAACTGCTTTTGCAAGAGTCTGAGGCTCACGATGCACTCCAACCAACTGGCGTGCGGCAACTTTCTGATACCCACTTTGTGAAATGCTAAACGAAGGTCTCTCGTGGATATTCCGGCCCGCCTTCACTTAGGGCGGGCATGAGGCTTGCTGGGGGCCTATGCCCAGAACATATGCATGTTGGCAAGGCCCCGTTGAGGGCTCAATCCTCACATTCCATTCCCCTTAGTTTCGAAAGTCCGTTGAGATGCTTACTTCGCAGGTGCCTTCCCCTTTAGCTGTCTTTCATATTCCGCCACCACTTGAGGTGCTGTTTTAATCAGTTCCTCTCTGGTGAACCGATCTTCTTTCGGATCTGTGTGGTTCCTTGACTCTGTATTCTCTCTTGGGTTTTGGAGGTCTTCTTCTGCCAAGAGGTCTGGGAACAAGCATGTCTCTGTAATCCAGAATGTCGTCGATGTCCACGTGGCCATCTATGGTTGGGGGCAACATTGATCGTCTTGAAGGAAATTGATTTGTCTTAGCGAAAGGTGCAAGCTTTGAGGCATGAAACACAGGGTGTGTGTGCAGGTGACCAGGATACGGATAACATAGGAAGGACCATCCATCTCATCCCCAACAATGTCCAGGACTTCCCAGGGACCAACATACCGAGGCATTA